AGAATAGGAATTGATTACCCGTTTCTTTGATAAGCAATGAAGACATGAAGTTTATTTCTATCTTTTCATTTCAACTCGTAAGTATTGAGTTGGAACTAGAAGGAAAAGAGGCATTGGTGTGTTAAATGCAAGTGAAGCACAATTAGTGAACTGTCGATGGATCCCTTTGCCTGGTTTAAATTGTAGTTTGAACCGGTTCAACTCTGGTCTAATTCTTTTCCCTACATAATCCTACGTATGATTCATATTTGAGTGAGATTCAATTTTACATTCTTACCTAATGTTAATCAAGATATTAACTAGGGAGATTATGTTACAATATCTAAATTGCCCAAAGAAAAAAAAAACTATATCCATATTCACTCACTGGGTCATGTTACTATGGGCAAGCACCCAAGGTTGTTAAAATTGTATTTTTGAATCGAATCGAAATGAGTATTTAAAAATCGAATCGTGAAATCGAATTGTAAATCGTAAGATTTTATGAAACAATTAAATAAAATTACTAAAAATATTATATAAAATGAAACTTACAATTTAACATTTAAGAAGTCAAAATATTACAAATTTAAGTCTATAAATAGAATCATTACATGTTTAAGTCTTACAATTGTGTATTCATTAAAGTGCAAAAAATAATTAGTAGGATAAAAATAGTATGTAATCCAAGAAAAAGTCATTTAAAAAATAAAAATAAAACGATATAATGAAATTTCACAATAAATGTATGAATATAGTAAGAGCAATAAAGCATTTGTTGAAATACATTTTTTCTAAAGTGAATATTACAGGCGATTCAGGATCGAATCCCTGATGTGGTAATTGTTTTTAGTTTTTAAAGAAATATCCTTCCCTTCCACTATAGTACTATACATTCCTCGGGTATTCAGCTTATAAGGCAGGTAACAACTTCAGTTTGTTACTAGCTCAAGCGTAGGCATGGACCCGGTTCGGGCCGCCTGTCCCGGGACCGGCCCGGCCCGGCACTGTGCGGGCCCGGAACCGGCCCGGTTCTCGGGTTCGGGTCCGGATCGGGCCTAGGCCCGGTGGGGGGGGTCCGGGCTCGGGCCTTGTATTTGGCGAACCGGCCCGGCCGGGTCGGGCCCGGGCCGAATTGATTTTTTTTTTTTTTTTTTTTTTTTTTTTTTTTTTTTTTTTCATTTTTTGGGGTTAGCCGGGTTGGGCTTGATGGTTAGGAGGGGTTTGGGGGTGGGGGGGTGAGTGGGGGGGTTAGGAAAGCAAAAAAAAAAATTTATGACCGAACCGGAGGCCCGGCCCGGACCTGGTGGCTACCCGGGCCGGTCCCGGGCCTTCCTTCCCAAAAAAAAAAGCCCAGCCGGGCCCGGCCCGGAACCGGCCCGGGTCCATGACTACTCAAGCGGGCCATGTTTGGAAGTATCTAAACATGAGTTTGTAAAATCGTAAAGTCGGAAGAAATCGGGATTTTAAATGATTTTAATCCGATTCAAAAGCGATTTTATACGATTTTGAATATTTCCGATTTTTTATACGATTCAGATCGGTTGTATGAAGTTGAATCGTAAAATCGTTAGATACAACTCGCGGTTTTAACAACTTTGCAAGCACCTAGTGAGGCTATGAGGGTATGGAAACTCATCACACATGGAAGATGATGAACTAGTATGTGTAATTCAGGTATTGTACGATTAATTAGATACTTATTACTATTAACTAGTACTAGTAATTAGATCGCGCGAGTAGGATCAAATGCGCAATGCTATTTTGATAAGGTAAATGAAATGTTAATGGGCATTATAATTGAGTTATTTGAAATTGCACTAAAGCTTTATACATAATTTGTTTCTATAATAAGAGTTGTTTAAAAGGTATATGAGATGTTTCTTTAATTTGCCAGAAAACAGGGCAAGGATCGCTCCAATTACAACCCATAAGAATCTAATATCAAGAGTCTAAGAAAGATTGATGTTAATGGTGTGGTTTATAGTGAGTCTAGAACATCGTGTCATTTTGAAACTTGAATCTAATTGTCCCACACATGTAGTAAGATTCAAGTCCAATAACAAATTATGCTTTAGAATATTACCAATATTAATGCTAATGAAATGGGTAAATATTCCTCTCTAATTATAAGCATATGCAAATATGCAATAAAATATTACACCCGATAGGTCTTATTTGGGATCGTCAGGGGTTAGTGTGGTAACGATTGACATGTGTTGTTCATAAATATCCATTACACATACATATATAAAAATATAATACGTATCAAATCAAACTTTTATCTAAATAATGGCATTCCCACCGTGCACACGTACTTCTATGCTAAAGTGAATCCGGGCATATTAAGATAAAATCGAGGCATTTTGAATGGAGTTTGATTACACGGTGTCATTATTGAAGTTGGACTTAGTTAAATACTTAATTGTATTGCATTTCGTTAATGGAGTACTTCAATTGAACCTAACACATCTAAAGGTGATAGTCACGATGTCATTAATATAGTAAAACAACATTTTCTTAAACGGTGTTTGATAATGCTTTTAAAGAATACTTTTATGTTTTTTACTTTGAAAAAGCCAAATTTATGTTTTACAAACAAAAACTTATCCTAAACTTTAGCACTTTTAAACTAAAAGTTGGAAGTAGTATTAATTAAGGATACTTAAGTGGTGTCAGGTCAACCAAAAGAACTGTGCATGCAGTGCTATCTATCGATTTCTAACATTACCTTCTTTGACATACCTTTTCATGCCTTCTGGAGCATATTGCACTGAATTAATCACTCGGAAGAAAGGTAGAAATAAATTAATAGTAAGTGGTAAATGCATATGTTTGATGGTCAAAGCAGAGCTAGTTAATATTAAGCAATGCCCCTTGGTTAAAAACTGATGATAAGCAATACATAAATTTTGAAATATAATGTTGAAAGTTGAAAATGGAACCACATTAAGAACATGAGAAGTTGCATGTAAACCTACAAACAAATGCATGAACCATTAGTCCTCAACTGTTTACATTGCACCATCTAAACTACAATCTAAATAAGCTATTTTAATATTGCCATGAAAAAACTATTTAAATGAACCGGAGACACCTAAAGAAACCAAATACCAAGGTAGTGTTGTGGGTATATCCAAATTATGGTAATATACAACAAAGTTGAAGGACATCAGTATCAATATGATCATAGGTGTTGGTAGAAAATAATCCGGGTAGAGAATTTGGCAGCAATTAAGTATAGTGAGAATAGCTTAGGGTTACAGGAGGATTGCGTGGCCTATTTATAGGCGATTACAACAAGTCTAATAATAAAATGCTACATGGGCTTGGCCCAATCTAAGAACTAATATTGGCGCTAATGGGCCAGCTAATAGAAAATAATCCCAAACCGATTTCTGCCAGCCGGGCTGTGTTATGAGCTTGGTCGGGCCAAAGCTCGGGTATAATGGGCCGATAGTCTTGGACCTGGCCCATTATCCCAACACGAGTCCCCCACTCCGTTAGTCGAGTAGTAGACTTGGCTAAAAGGGAGTAGTTGAACTGTCTTGGAATCGGCCCGGTTGCTGGTCCGCCCGACTGGTCATTGATGAGCCTTGAATTTGATCACATTGCTTATGAAAGGATGGAGTCTTCCTTGGTCCACACACACACACACACACATTTATATCTATTAATTTATCTTTATACATATTTGTAGTTTATTATGTTTAAATTTAAGTTTTTAGTTCTTAACAACTAGCTTAACTAATATAGTACTCCATATCTATTTTTGTACTTAATGATAATACTTTGTGCTTGAATTTTAAATTTTAGATATAGTTTCTCATTATTATATTTGTGCAAGTATTATTTTTGTATATGGTGAAAGACCTATAAACATTATAAGTGTATTAACAATTTCTTAAATGTTGTAATATTATTTTTTTAGTAATAAAAAAATTATATAATTTTGAAAATTTTAAAGTTTTTCCGGGCCGCGCGGCTCGGTGGACTACCCGGCCCGCTCCTACGGGCGGGTATGGACATGGGGTTTGGCCCTTCTTTGCGGGCCGGGCCTACCCACACATGATGGACAATTTTTTTAAAAAAGTCCGGCCCGAACCCGTTATTGTGTAGGTCTACTGTGTTCTAAGCTTGGTTGGGCCAAAACTCGGGTATAACGGGCCGATAGTCTTGGACCTGGCCCATTATCCCAACAATAGGTATAGTAAACAAAGGTAATTCTCATTCTTACAATTAATTTGGAAATTAAAGTATCATAAGGAGACATTTTGACGTACTATTCTTATTTCTTATTCTAAAATTAAAATCAACCAATAGAAATGTTTATTATCATTTTTTAATGTGTTTGCATGGACACCTATGAAAACTTTTACATACACTAAGAGCCCGTTTGGTAGCACAAAAATCGGCTGATTTGGCTGATTCTGCTAAAATTTATGAAGTTCTGGCTCAAATGACTGCATTGGCTGATTCTACTGATTTAAGAAAAAATTAGTTTTAAAATATAATTTATTAATAAAATAAAGAAAAAGTTATATGTAAAATAGTTAAAATAGTCGTCTACAGTAACTTCAGCCAATACAGTCAGAAAAGTAACTTCAACCGTACTTTTTCTGCTTATTATACTATTCAGCGCGCGAAAGCAAAAATAACGAGTTTGGTGAAAAAGTTGGCTGATAAGCCGAAAATCTGTGTTGCCAAACGGCCTCAAAATTACAAGATTGGTGACCCTTGTTAGCATGACAGAGTCGGAGTTCTTGGTATTAGACTAAAGGTGGTGAAAATTGGTTGTTCAATTTGTGAGATGAACTTAATGGATGAAAGATTTTTCTCTTGAACAAAATTACATACATGAAAAAAATGTGTTAATTCACAATAAATTAGTGTTAGACCGACATACCTTTCTTTTTTTTGTACTGCAGTATGATAAAAGTTAGATATTTAAAATCATATTATTAAATAAAGTTTTATTGAAGGATGAAATGACAAAATTAAATCATATTGAAGGATGTACTTGAAGGATGAAATGTACAAGCATTAGTACTTGAATTATGCATATTCAATTATGCACGGTAGTATTACATTTCAGACAAGCTAGATACAAATAAATTTTGTAGCACAATGGTGTAGCCTTCAACATGATCCTAGTTCAAAACTAAAATTAGGACCATTTTATAGTATGAAAAATAAAAATATTTCTAATGCAAAATCCGGTGCAAGGATGATCCATTCCTAATCTGAATTATGTGTTTCTTTCATAAAGTCGAATACTATTATTTAGAATGGTCTTAATAAGTTCAAAACTAGACATATAATTCATAGATGTCCATCGTTCGAAACCGACATTGAATAATCTAGACAAAATATATCATAGATGCACCTGACTTGACCGGACCCATTCCCATACATGCGGTGCCCCGCTTTCAAAAACTTTTGGAGTATCTTATTTGCATTGTGTACAGGTATTGTATAGTAGTAAAAGGCGAAAGAATAATTTGCTTTGGGCTTGTTATTGGTTCATCAGCAGAAGTAACATGTCTAGGGGCGGTGAAGCACTAAATTGGAAGGGGGGGGGGGGATAAAAGAATATTCCACATGTGAATTATTTAGTAATTGATGCCCAAAATTGCTGTAAATCCCTACTGATATCCCTTTCTCTGCCCATAATCACAGAAGAATGATCTGCACCTGCAATAAATTTCACTTTGGCATCTCCAGCTTTCATCTTCATCTTCTCACTGCATTCCAATGGCACTACTTGGTCCTCAGACCCATGAATAATTTTCATTTTCACCCCACAGCTTGTTAAAGCTTCCAAGTACTTGTCCATCATTTTTCCTCCACCACAAATCACATTATGCATGGTATGCCAGGCCGAATGGTGAGTATGCCGTGTCATGTCCACCAATGTGAAATGCAGATCTCTGATATGCAAAAAATCAACATTTAAATGAATCATTTTTAGACAACTTGTAGGGCATGTAGTTCAAAAGGAAGGAGTTGTTTAACACAAGAGGGGATTTAGGGTCCATTTGGTTGGTAAAGTGGTAAACACTAGTATTGACTTATTAGTACATTCCTACCAAAATTTCAACGCATTTGGCAACGTTGGCTTAGTCGACTTGATAGTCACAAAAAAAAGTACTACTTAGTAGAAAAGTTTTTTTTTCTGTTCAAACAAAGAGTAATGGCTTTTTCACCCATGTCTTTAAAACTGTACTCTGGAGTCTTCCCTTTTACAATTTTTTTTTGGTGTGGAGTCTTTAGATAATTTACCCATAGATGATTAGTTCATACCGTCATTTCAACTATTTCTTGCAAAAACAAAAACCAATCAGGCGGGCTGTAAAATAACTCACCTTCCGGTTATTTTTCTCAAAATCCACTCCCAGGTTCTGTGGTTCCGGCAAATAATAAAGCACACACACCGACCGAGATGCTCATACCATGACATGAATGCTGAACCAAATAACACTGGTGGCCATATTCGTCTTGCTGCAACTTTCTCTAAGGTTGATAAACTAGCATCCTTCCCCGCATCAGCAGGGAAGTAAGGCTGCAAAATAATTCCCCAGTATACAAAGGGATGATCTTTACTAAAGAAATCACTATAAACCAAGCAAGAATGCACAATGTTATCAACAAAAAAACTCAATTGCTTCTCATCTAGACCCTGAACTGAGTACATCAACTCAATAATGACCCTAACTATAGAGAAACTCATAATTCACTTTGGACATGGTGTGTCTGAAAATGCTTTAGACACAAAGGCAATTGTATGTGAGAAGAAAAATGTTAACGATGGACAGACCAGTCGCAAAGGTAACGGCCACATAAAATATTCAAGCCTTCATATCCTATGGGCAGAACCTTCAAATACAGCTCATTCACGTACATGGCATGTCCAAATAAAAACAAAATCTTACAAAAAATCCATTGATTAATATCTATCAAAAGATGCTAACATTTCTCTTAGTCAGCGGTCTTTATGAAAACTCCATCTCTACTCTTACTATTAGAGATAAGGTCGGCATACATCTTACCTTCCGAATACCCTACAGACAAACGGCTGGGTAAATTTTGGTTTGGTTTTGTTCAGTTTACTACTTACTTAACGTGCTAAATAAAACCTTTGAACAACTTGGGGCCGATCATGATTTTTCATGTAAAAATTCTGGGTCAATTTTCAGGATTTGGAAGAACTTCTAATATAACCTGTAAATTAACTTACAGGCGCTATCAATGTGATTGATTTCACAGACTGTGCATGCTTTGCTCCTAGTGCTAGAGCTATCACACATCCCATGGAGTGAGCAACCAGGTGAAACGATTTCAACTCAAATGGAATTATAACTGTTTTTTCGATCATTTCTAAATGGTCCTTCATGGTATAAAAACAATCCCTTGGCTTTGGGCTTTGTCCGAATCCCAGTAGGTCCACTGCAAACAATCTGTACTTTTGCATTGCATTTTCAGACAGATAGGGAAATACAGTTTGTGTCCAAAACGATGACGATCCCATGAAGCCGTGCAAAAATATTATGTTTTCTGTAGTGTTACCATTGGGATCCTCCAACTTACCTGTGTAAGCACTACTATCTTAATAAGCAAGTCTCCAGTAATAACAAAGCCATAACTGAATCACGTGCTAGATCTTAAGGAAATTAAAGGTAGACAAAAACTGAGAATAAACTAAGTGACAAGAATCTGATTTATAAAAAACTCGGCTAAATTTGAAATTAGACATTTGATGAGAGAAATTTATAATTGAAAGTAGCTGCAGAATAGTTGCACACAATCTACAGTGTCACTTGACAATAGAACCTGCTAGCAGCGGCGGCGAATCGTAGTACCCGCTGTTGGTGGTGGTGATGGATATCAGTAACGGACGTGGCAACACATAATAGCAGCTAATTTTGCTACTTATTCATTTCAGAATTTTATCCAACATAAAACTGAATAATTTGCTCCTAGTAGGGGCCCTAATTTGGACAATTAAACTGATCAAGCATATCATTAGAGATACTCTTCATAATTGAACAGAACTTGCGACTTTGGCTATGAACGCAACACGTAAGGAGCGGACATTGAGTAGAAAGCCATACAAAATGCGTATACCTGCAGATGCAGATGGTTCTCGGACCACTAAATGGAGCCTCAAATCAGCGATTCCGCCACTCTCTCCTTTCTTCATCCAAGCAATGCAAGGCTCGCATCCACAGTCAGACCACCTGTTCCCTCTTCCTTCTCCGCTCCCATCACATTCGCGGCTCCGACCTCCAGCCGCCCCGTTCGCGAGCACAGCCATTCGCCGGAACACGTTCTTCCTCCGGTAGAGTGTGACAGACAGTTCGCTTTCACCGTCCACCGCCATTTTCAGGGAGCTCTGTACTTCACCAGGTGAGCAGCAGTAGCATGGGGAAGAGGAAGTTTCTTCGAGGAAGGAATCGATGAATCGGTATGCTACACAGAGGAGAGCGTCAAGGAAATCGAGAAAACAGAAAACGGGAAAGCTGAGCAGAGAGATGAGAGAATGTGAAAGGAATTTGGGCTTCATCATCCTGTTTTTGGGAGGAGAAATGAAGAAAGGAAGAAAGTAGGTAAGTATAATGAGGAGGGAATTTTGATGAAGTGAGTGGGGTTGGTTTACAAGTTAAAGATGTTCCATTTCTTATTAAGTGGATTAAGAAGGCCATACGTGTTCGCCCATTGAACATTTTCTTCTCTACGGTATAGTTTTTTTAAAAATAAAAGTGACTCTCATAAATAAATATTTCATTCCTTCCATAAAACTTGATCAAAATTGACTTGTACCCAATGTTCTAAAAGGCACAAAGCGTTGCAAGACGGCATGATCAGACATTAAGCCTTTGAAACATAGGCGGGAGAAAGGCGACAAAAGGCGTTTTAGCATTTTACTAAACATTTTAATTTTCATACAAGTATTAGTAAACATATTCATGTATTATGAGATAAATTTTATCCAAAAGCATCATACTATTACATATGCATACTTTCTTCTCTTAGAAACCCTAAAAAAAAACATATGCATACAAAAATAAGCCTATAAGGTTATAGTGGGTTAACAAATTGGGCCTTTATTTTTGTATTTGTAACCAACTTAAGTATTAATTTTGAGCTTAAAAATTGTAATGGATTTTTACAATATATTAGAATTAAAAGTAATTGTTGAGTAGGGAGTTGGTACGGTATTATACCGGTATACCGCGGTATTTGAAAACATTTACCGTTACCGTACCGAAATAGATCGGTACGGTATGATACCGTACCGAAAATGACGGTATACCAATATTTCGATATTTTCCGGTACGGTAAGTGCGGTATACCGATTTTTCGGTATTTTGCCCACCCTTATATTTGGATATGATGATGCGGCGAATCCATTCTTTCGGTTTGGGTAAAAACCAATGTTCTAAAAGGCGCTAGGCGGGCGCCAACCCAACAACTAGCGCCTAGGCGGGGACTAATCGGAGACATAAAAATTGCTTTTTTATTTATATTTTTGCATACATAAGATTAATAGTATTGTATTCTTGTGTGTGTATAAAATACATACCTACACATACATTAAAAAATATGAATGATAAAATTATCACATTTAATCATACGTAGTATATGGAAACTAATCACTTAACATCATTATGTTATAAATACAAATAATAATAAAATTTAGGTATATATACAAACATATATAGTGTTTATCTTAATTTACAACTTTATATGTGGGGCCAAAGTTAAAGTACTTATATCACTTAGAAAATTAAAATTATAAAGTAAAGTTAGGCTAATCTAAATGACCCAGGTGGCTGATTAGGCGTTTTGGGCGGGCAACTAGTGACTATAAGCGGCCCTCTAATTCATCTAGACTGTAAAACAATTAGTCAGAGTGCCTAGGCAAAAATCGGGACGCCCGACCACCGTCTAGGCGGGGACTAATCGAACGCCTAGAATGATTTTTAGAACAAAAGTAAAAACAAAACAAAATTTTAATTTTATTTAGGCTAAAGGGTATGATGGAGTATATGGCCCAGGAACCCCCGGCCCATAGACTCCTACTTCTCCGACACAAGTCCATTGAGCTCAGGAAACAACTCAGGCCCAAATACGACGGCCCAAGCCTCAAAGTAGCCCAGAATACACACTGGGGTGCCTTCGGCCTCCTTGGCCGAAGGCTCCAGAAACTCACGAAGTAGCCCTCTCTGACATACGAAGCTACTGGGAGAAAACGGCGAAAAACATGAGCCTTCGGCATTACCAAGCCCTCGGTATTAGGGAAGCCTTCGGCTGAACTTAGCCCTCTGCCACTCGGGGCCTTCGACTACACAGGGGTCCTTGGCTACATGGAGCCCTCGGCCACACAAGGTGCTTTCGGCCTGACACTCTCAATCATCGAAGATTCCTTTTAGGGACAGCCAACCACCACATTTAATGCCACGTCACATCCGCCAACCGCGTTCAATGCGGTGAACGTACCACTGCCGGTGCCACCAGGCTGATATGACCCTTCGGCCGTTAGATTACTGACACGTGTACTCTCATCGCATTTATTGCTGCTATAAATAGCATCCCATTTCTCCTTGTAATCGACATCTACATCCCCAACTCCACATCTCGAGTTCATTTAATAAATCGACTCTCTCTCCTCCTATTTGCTCTGACTTCTCTCTAGTTATTCCCGCAATAACCCCTCGGATAAGATACCCCCCGGGTAGACTATCCATCATTTGGTGCTCTCGTTGAGAGGTCTGAACTATCAAGTAAGAAACCCTCCCCCTCTACCAGATACAAAACACTTACCAAAAAATGGAAAGAACCACTCGTGCCCAATCCAAAACCCTAGAGGAGAACCACGTAGCCCCCGGGGAAACCAACGGGGCTGAGGCCTCCAACAGGCTCTTGGTACCCGAGGGTGGTATCATCCTTGAATTGGAGCAGGCTACCGCTGACCTCCGTCAGCAGCTACAGAAGAACGCCCCTGATGCCCGCATTGGCCTTGATAATCGAAGGAGGGATCGGAGTCAGAACCAAGTTCCCCCTCCGGCCCCGGCCATCGATCTTCAGGCAGCCTTTGCGGCCTTTGTTCAGAACATGGCTCTCAACTCCGGAGCCCTCGTCTCCCAGGCACCCCTTCAGCCCTATGCTGGAGGGAATGTTATCTACCTACCGCCACTCCCTCCTTTGTTCAACAACCCTCCCCCGGGGGTTGGCAATGCCGAGGGGGTCATAGCACAGGATACCGCCTCCCAAGAGGCCCAATCCAAGGACAAACGCCCCATGATGAAGGAGAAACCCCGAACCTCTGCACTTGAGAGGCTAGGGGGAGCTCCCGGGCACCGAGGGGTCCAAGACCGCCTCGGGAAACAAGCGCTCAGCAGGCCCCAGGAAAGTGGAGCCTCCGCTTTGGGTGCCGAGGGCGTGCCTCCCCCCCGAAGCAGAGGCAAAGCTCTCCTCCATGCCGATGATGCCAGGCACCAAATCGCACAGGCGCAGTCCTTCCGGGCCAACTCCCAAGGGGTTGCCCCGAAGGATCCCAAGGACGAAATCATTGAAGCCCTCCTCCGTCAACTCGAGGAGAATCGTCAGGCACCCCCGACAGCTTCCACAGCGAGGCCAGATCCAGAGTACGCCGACCTCCGGGCGCAAGTGGAGGAAATGAAGCGTAAGCTTGCCGAAGGCTCAGGCGAGCCCCTCATCCAACTCCGCACCAGAACACCCTTCACCCCAAGGGTGCTGGCGGCCAAGATTCCCCAAAAATACCGGGGGCAACCTATCAAGCCGTATGAGGGGAAGACGGATCCCCAAGAGCACTATAGCCGCTATCAAAATAGCATGATGATGATGAGGGCCTCGGATGAATACTTATGCCGTTGGTTCCTTTCCACCTTGGAGGGACCCGCGTATGAGTGGTTCAACCGGTTGCCCGAAGGCAGCATTGATTCTTGGCAAGAACTTGCCCACCGCTTCCTTACGCAATTTGCTGGGAGGCATCGCTCAAAGAAGCATTTCTCCCACCTCCTAAACGTGAGACAACAGAAGGAGGAAACCCTTCGGAGTTTCCTGGAACGCTGGAGGCAGGCCTCCCTCGAGGTCGAAGGCGCTGATGACAGGACACTAATGGCCCTCTTCCACACCGTCCTCCGCAACGGTAACTTCTCCCGGAGCCTTATCACTGATCCCCCCCGCGATTATACAAAGGCCCTTCAGCGGGGGGACCGATATGCTGAAGCGGAGGAAATCGAGAAGGACCGCCGCAACACGGATCCTTCTCAGAAGAATGAAGGCAGGAATCGGCCCGGAGGGCCTCCCCCTCCGGTCAACCGAGAGGCGTAGTACAACGATCGCTCCCGGGGTGGCCAAGCCAGACCCGGGGGCGGTTACAAGAACAATCCGAAGGCTTGGGCGCAACCCGTCCTCCTGGAGCACCCACGCACTCCCCTGACGCACCCCGTCAGCGTCATCTTGGACCATGCAGAAGAGCGAGGGCTGGTGGAGCGAGACTCCCGTACACCCCTCGAGATTTATGCCATTGGTCCCGATGAGCCCTATTGCCGCTTCCATCGCCACCACGGACACAAAACCGACGATTTCCATCAACTTAAAAACGCAATTGAGAGGCTGATACAGGCAGGCCACTTGTCTCAGTTTATCAGGGGCCCTCCTCCCCAGGGCCCCCTTCACCATCAAGGGCCCCCGCCGAAGGCCAACAAGTGGGTGAACCCCAACACCATCCCCTTGGGAAACCCACAGGGGAAGAAGCGAGAAATTGGGGGCCTCGATGATGAGGGAGAGGGCTCCCATCAACAATACAAGTGCCATATTCATATGATCAACGGCGGCAACACCGGAGGCGATTCAACAAGCCAAAGGAAGAAGTGGGCACAGTCCCTTTACATTGGGGAAGTCAATCACATGCCCCCAACTAAGAGACCGAGGGGGGAACCCATCTTCTTCACAGATGCGGACCTCCCCTCGGGTTCTCTGCCGCATAGGGATGCCCTCGTCATCCGCACTGAGATCAATGACGCCATCATCCACCGGACTTACGTCGACACGGGGAGTTCTGTCAACGTCATGTATCTCAGCACTTTTCAAGAGTTAGGACTCGATAGGGGGTCCCTTCGGCACATCAACACCCCCCTCTCCGGATTTACGGGGGATAGCATAGACGCCGAAGGCGTCATCACCCTATTGGTTGAATTCGGCGACAGGCCCCATAGAGCCAAGCTCGAAGTGGAATTCGTCGTCGTCAACCTCGAATGCGCACACAACATCATCCTCGGCCGGCCTGCCCTCGAGGATTTGGAGGCCATCATCTCCATGAGGCATCTCTGCCTCAAGTTCCCCACACCCACCGGCATCGGCTACTCGAGGGGTAATCAGAAGCTCTCCAGGGCATGCTACCTTCAACTTACCAAGAAGGTTAGTAAAACTGAGCTCCGAATTGATACGATTACCACCAGGGCCCTGGAAGAGGAAGAAGGCAGGCCAAGGGCTGAACCTGCCGAGGAGACTGAAGACTTGATACTCAATCCGGCCAAGCCGGGGAGAGTCCTGAAGATTGGAGCCAAGCTCCCCGAAGACCTGAAGGCTGGCATCACCAAAGCCCTCCGCGCCTACTCCATTGT